TTGTGAGCCGCCCAGAGTCCCTAGGAAGTGGGTGGCATACAAATCCTATTAAAGTTTAAAGTTTGTAAAAACTGTCTGCATGCCTAGGTACTTGATTTTATATACCTGTGGCCATGGAAGTGATTGGAACACCTGATTCTGATTATTTGGATGGGTGAGCGAATACTTTTGGCAATATAGTGCATGTTATCTCATAGGTTTCTTTTTAAAGATACCACAGCAGTCCTGTATAGAAAACTCTCACCAAAGAGTTTTATATTTTTATGTTGGGTTTATGTTTTTATTTAGTGCCAGGGTGGGCAATCTTACATCATATCCTCACTTCGTTTTTTTGGAGGGAGGGCAGGGTGTTATGTGGAGGTGGGATTCAATGGTATATTAAAATTTGTGATATGGCTATTTGGTGACTTTGCACAGCTGTTTTCACATTTCCCACTTCAGAATTCATTTTTTGTACTTCTCATTTCCCACCTCCTTCTCATTTATTTCTCCTCAGAGTTTCATCTTTTTACTTTCCCCCTTTTAGTCAACAAAAAATATTTTCACTTGTGATCTCTGAGATGTGCTCACAGTCCTTTCTTTGTTCCAGGGACAGTTGTCGCCATGGCTGGCAGCTCCTCAGCCTTTTGACTGGATACTTCCTCCCATCCAATACCTTGAGGCCTTACATCACTGAGTTTTTGCAGCAGATCTGCTATGATAGTAACCACCCCTGTTCAGGTACATGACCTGTCTCCTCCTATTCATTAGTTGTGAAGAATCTGTGGTGTTATTTTCCATGCTTGCAGTCTATCTACCACCAACCCTTCGTTTCTGTGTGTTCCTTAACATCCTTTTAATAGTCACAAATCAACAGCCAATCCTCAGTCCTGTATGGGGAAGGTAGGTGGGGAACGCATGCATGAGGTCCAGCACCTAATTCTATTTTAGCAGAAGCCTCTTTAAATGTCAGTCACACTTCCTACATCGTATGCTCAGCGTTGTGTGTGCGTTTTTTTTAATCCCCAGGAATAGCCGAGGATTGCCAGAGCAACCTGAAGAAACTGATCACGTATGGAAGCCGCAAACACTTGCCATTTTTGGCGGAGATGAGAGCATTTTTGGTAAATGAGAAGCAGATATGGGTCAGGGTGGGACTGTCTCCCCCTTGGGTGCTGAAGCAAATCTTCCAGGCAGAAAAGCAGAAAAGAGCTAGCTGGGGAAGACGGTAAAACAAAGCAAGTACTGGAAATAGAGCAACTTTTTTATGTGCATCTTGAGGTTGAATCATCTGCATGAACATGATTTACAAAGGTCAGGCTTGAAGGCAAATTGATGTGTGAGAAAACAGGCTTTTTTGAGCAAAGATTTATTTGTATTGCTTAGTATTACATCTTTAGAGAGGTCTGATGTTCAGAATTATGCCAAATCATTCAAATGTTTTAGGATTTAATATTTTGAACACCTTCATCCTCTGGCAGCCTCACCTTAAAGAGCACAACTACCCCAAGATTCATTATTCTTGGGCACAATTTTCCTATATTTTTCAGTAACTATTTGAAAAAAAGTAGACTTTGGGGTGGAAAATTTTTAGAAGCAAATTGTGGACTTATGTGATGAGAAAACCTGTTTTGACAGATCACATCATTTGCACACAAATTGTCAGGGTTCCAAGTGACACCTCCAATGAAAGAAGACTTCAAGGCTTGAAGTTACTCAAAATTCCATTTTATTAGAGATGTCATATTGGCATAGCTGGGAAAACCCGAATCTGAAAGCTTCCAGGTTTTCCCCACCCAAATGAAAGTCCAAGCCCCTACCAGCACCCACATGTCCATCATCATGATCCA